TGATTCAAGGGGGGGGGGGGTGAGCCCCGAAGGCCCCCCTCCTGAATATGCCTACGTGTATCATGTTTGCATTGCATAATGTATGAACAAATTAAGCATGTAATTCGTAACACGTATAGCATTAAAGGTGCACTTTCAGTTGGTGGATCCGCATTTGAACTACTGCCGTCTGAACTATTGATCATTTGAACTATTGATCGTTTGAACTATTTTTCATTCTAACTACTGAAAATGACGTCATTTCCTGTAGTTCAAACAACGTACATTACTTACTCATTTGAACTATTACATATGCAGTTTAAAGTTCATATTTCATGAAAAACAATGAAGTTCAAATTAACCAAAACATCTTTCAAATGAGCAAAAAAATATTTCAAATGACCCAAAAAATAGTTCGAATGAGCAAAAAAAATAGTTCAAATGATCAAAAATGGAACCAAAAATTGACTCCACGCTGTCTGTATACCTTGGTGTGGTCCAGGCAGGTCCACAAGCCTCCCATATAGATCTCTGCCTAGAGTTTAAACACTGCCGGAGAAAAGAAACCGCGGTGCTGGTTAGCAGAGGGGAAATTACATCTTTCTGAAGGTCGTCGTCAAACAGGTCGTTTCCTTCAAAATAGAAATAAAATAAAATAAAAAACAAAAAGTAAAAAACGGAAATTATGAGATTCCCGATTCACAACATAAAAAGTTTTTTTAATCAAGAATGTATGAGATATACACAATCTAATCTTTAAAAGTTTATTAATTCAAATTGTGGATTCCTCATACAGTAACTTAAGAATTTCTGCCTCAAACACAATGCAGGAAATTGTCAGAGTTAAGCACTTTTCAATTTTTCATTATACGGTGAATTAGGATGCCGTTGTGGATCGGACATGCCCTCTTTTGTTAAAAGGAAATTACAACAACAGACCAGTAAAGGCTTATTGGCATTGGGAAATATCTACATTTTACATATTAACATTGGGAAATATCTACATTTTATATATTAACATTGGGAAATATCTACATTTTATATATTAACATTGGGAAATATCTACATTTTATATATTAACATTGGGAAATATCTACATTTTACATATTAACATTGGGAAATATCTGCATTTTACATATTAATATTGGGATATTTACCCATCAATTGAAAATATTTGTATGCTAAACTTTAGCAGTAAACATAATAAACATTGACCTGCATCCATCAAGAAGGCTAAAGGTGGAAATAAAAAATAAACAATATCTGAGGCGTTCGGATCCTTTAGATGCGGATTCAACCGACCCTGAAAATATAAACATTAAAAAAGGAATTAAACTAAATTATAATTATTTTATACGAACCAGAAGGTTGAATGCAAGCTTGATCTTTTGAAAAACCGAAGTGAATTCCGTAGCTCTAAAATATTAATATATTTTAAAAAAATGCTTACTTAAAGGGACTGTAAGCGTAATTTCAAATGAACTTCCATGCAAAAAATACCAATGCCCAATTTACGACGGTCCCCTAAAAGCTTTGCCGGAATATATTGAATCAGATATCTATTTTTGTAATGTTTAAAATTGATTTTTTTCAATTGTGGTCTTCTGCTAAAGTGATTTGTACAATTCTACAGAACAGGAACGCATATAGAAATTATTGAATTAAACACTTTTAAACCTAGAAAAACGACAATATCTTCCACATCAGCTAAAGGTTTTATGGGCACCTTTGGGCATCTTTGCCTGGAAGGTCACTTGAAATTACGCCTACAAGTCTCATTAAATATCAAAATTTTCAGCAAAAAACGAAAATTTACAAAAAGTTAACAATGTTTTTTTGTAAAATATTTTCCTAAAAGAGTCAATAACTCTTGCACCGGGAACATCATCTCGGGAGTTTCTTAGTTCTCTAAACACAGGAACATTTGCAGATTTATTTATACCAGTTTTATTATCAGAAACTTCAAATTATTTAACACTAAACTAAAATATATTGTACAAGCTTGGAACACCCAACGTTGCCCAGGTTACTCATAGTTACTCCCGCTGTTACCGACGCTTGGTCTTTGATTTAGTTATTTTTTACTGTAAAAATCGAGTTCCCCAATCAAAATTTGAGGCAAATCGGTCCAATGAGTTTCCTAGTAATGATTGGATTATCAAAACAAACAAACAGAGATTACTACTTTATATATATTGTATTGCACTGCAAACTGTTTTCCTGCAAAGTTTCTCAATATCATCTGTACAGTAGTTGAGCAGAATTGTATCTTTTTGTACAGGATCATCACTGTACATAATAAACCGTGAAAAGTTTATAAATCGTAGTTTTTACAGCTTGATTTTGGTTTAATGTAGTATTAATTGTATTCAATTTTCTAAGTATTATGCCTGTGATCGTATAAGAAACTTGGGCGATCCAAACCAAAACTCTCAGTCCTAAAATAAAAGTTCTTAACTTCTTTTAGTCTGCTAAGTTATGATATTTATGTAAGAATGTTAAAACTGACCTTGCTAAGTTTTGGGATATTGTTGGAGATTTAATCGGCAGTGGAGGTTTCCTGCAATACTTACAGATCTTTTTGATGCTTTTGATAGAATACTTTTTTTTGCAATTGTTCAGTGTCTTTGGGTAATTTTACCACCACAAAAATGAATTATAGAATTTCGAAGTCTTTCATCTTCTTTCTTTCATCGTCTCGTGTCCCTCAGAGCAATAATCCCAATTTATTTGCAACCTGATAGTGTAAACTTTTGATATTTTTTATTTACTCTGTTGCCGGCCCCATTNAGAAGGGGGGGGGTAGGAATCGTCAGATTGAAGTTTAACTCTAACAACCAAATACATCTGTCCCTTTGTTCCGCCTCTGGTTGAGAATAGTTGGAGACAGCTGAGGCGGAGCGGCGATGCACTAAACCAGGTTCAAGCATTCAAGTATATTTGATTTTTTGATAAACAGGGTCAGTATTTCATTTGTTGATAAACAGGTAAACAGGGCCAGTATTTCATTTGTTTACAAACAGGACCAGTATTTCATTTGTTGATAAACATGGTCCGTATTTTATTTGCTTAAAACAGGAGTATATAACATTTGTTAACAAACAGGACTAGCATTTCATTTGCTGATAAACAGGACTATCATGTCATTTGCTTCCAAACAGGACCAATATTCATTTGTTAAAAAAAAAGTATATTACATCGGTTTCCAAACAGGACCAGTATTCATTTGTTAAAAAAAGTATATTACATCGGTTTACAAACAGGGCCAGTATTTTAATTGTTTAAAAAAGGAGTACATTACATTTGTTTACAAACAGGACCAGTATTCATTTGTTAACAACAAGACAAGTATTTCATTTTTTTATAAACAGGACCAATATTTCATTTTTTTTATAAACAGGACCAATATTTCATTTGTTTATGAACAGGACCAGTATTTCAGTTGCTTACAAACAGGGCCAATATTTCATTAGTTTTTTTATTTATTTTTAAAATTATTTTTCTTAATTTTCTTCCTTTTCTCTCTATCTAAGTTATCCATGAATATGTTTACTATTTATGTTTCATTATAATTAAATTGCCGACGATTACATTTCATTTAATTTTCTAAACTTATAAATTATTTGGCATTGCAACTTAGGCAGTTTTTTAACAATAACTAGCTATTCTTGAATGTATGTGCAAGGTGCCTGATGCAAATGAAGAAACAGAAACATCAGACATTCTTCTTTGTCTTCCCCCTTTCTCCTATACAATTAATTTGCCATTTAGAACAACAATCGTTAACTAATTTAAATCATAATTTTTGACTAAAAACTATTTTTGTCCTTTATGTGAGTTTTGTCTAATGTCTATTCTATTATATTATTTGATATGTTCTTTTTGGAACAGTTTTAGATAAAAAAGATGGCCTGCAAATTTCTATGTTTTAATGAAAAGGAAAAGTGATGGTTTACCAGTCCACACAACTCTATCAGTCTCTCAACAACATCTTGAGGTTCATCATTCAAACACTAAACAAAATTAAATTAATCCCAGAAGTTGATTACTAGTTTCAGAAACCAACCAGAAATTGACAATCCAGTAATTTTGATTTTAAAAGGAAACCTCTTGTGAAGAAAGGATATTTCGTTGAGCCTAGTAAGAAATTATCATCATTAAAGTACTATCCAGATCCCCATATTTTTATTGGAGACCCCAGGCTTTACATCGGAGCCGCCAGATTTTCATTTTGGAGATCCCAGCTATTCGTTAATTTTTTCCTCAGACTCCTTTTATACATGGACCTTGAACTTGACCTTGACCTTGTCCTTGACCTTGACCTTGACCTTGACCTTGATCTTGACCTTGACCTTTCATTTGACATTGACCTTGACCTTGACCTTGACCTTGACCTTGACCTTGACCTTGACCTTGACCTTGACCTTGACCTTGACCTTGACCTTGACCTTGTCTTTGATCTTAACCTTGAACTTGAACTGGAACTTGAACTTGACCTTTACATTGACCTTGACTAACCTGAATTGCTATGAATATGCTGTTAAAGTTAAAGTGTCCTGAACCCGCAATTCTGAAGACAACAACACTGCTGAATCCATTCGGGGAACCCTATGCAAAGTGTTTATCGACGAAGAAAACAAAAAAACGTTGCCGACGAAGAAAAAAAGAAAAATGTTTTTCGGCAAAGAAAACAAAAAATGTTTTTTGGCAAAGAAATCAAAAAAAAATTATTTGTCGACGAAGAAAAAAAGAAAAATGTTGTCGACGAAAATACAAAGAAAAATGGTTGTTGACAAAGTAAACCAAGAAAATTGTTTGTTGACGAAAAATACAAAGAAGAAAGTTGTAGAAGAAAAAACAAATAAAAAATGTATGTTGACAAAGTTAAAAGAGAAAATCTTTCAGAGGCTAAGCAGAAATGTATTAAATATTTTTATGAGTTCATGAAAATACCTTTCTTACATAAGCAACGGGATCTCTTATATCTCGAATGAAAATGCTGGTGATCGATTTTTCCTTAATTAGAACTTTGCATGATAGTATTTTATTCTTAAATGATAATAATAGTGATAATGATAATAGTAATCATAATGATAATAAATAATAATAANGGAGGGGTACTGTGGAAGACGAGACCCAGCGTATCCGGGAACGAGCTTAAGAATCCTACGGAGCATTCTAGATCTTTCTATGTGATTCTAGAACCTAGGGTAGTGATATATATATACGAGTTGATTCTTCTGTTATTAGTATCTTGTTAAATATATTCTGAAGAGAAACTCCTCACGTTATTTTGGATCCGACACGACGTCTTCCATAGTGTAACAATAGTTATGCTAAAAATATACATATTTTGAAATACTAAAGGTTTTGAACATCGGGTTGCAAAATTATTGGTATTCGAAAATCAGAGTTTGTGGTAAAAATTTATTTCCTGTTTAAGAAATTGATTAATCTACCTCTGTTGGGTCGTATAGGATAATTTCCTCATCTTGTTGAAACATCACAGCCTCTGGTACAAACCACTCCTACAGTATACATTCATCATGCTCATTGGATATCAAGATCAATCAATCAATCAAAATTAACAATATCTGCACCAAAAGAATTGAATTTCAAATTATCATATTCATATTTGTAACTCCATGATTAATTCTGTGCAGTACAATTTTATCAGTCGTAAATTTAGAGCACAGTAATCCAAGGGTTAAAAAATTGATGAGAATTTTGCTAGTTACTTCTTTAAAAAACTATAGCTAAAAATAGTATATCCAGGTTACTAAGGTTACGTCACTTTAAAGTACACCCAGTCGGAAAGAATTGATGCGTCTTTTCATAGCAGTCTGGATGTATGGCATGTATGTGTTTGAACATTCTTTAAAACTTATTTATAAAACGTATATACCTGAAGTTCCTCATGAAGTGTCATAAGTAAACTTATTTAAATTGTTAACTGTAACTGTTTAAATATACATCAAAACTTATTTATATCATTCAAACATATATTGTAGTATTTAATTTATTTATTTATTTAATATTTTAATTCAAAGATATATTTATTACCTAAAGGTCCTCATGAAGTGTCATAAGTAAACTTATTTAAATTGTTAACTGTAACTGTTTAAATATACATCAAAACTTATTTATATCATTCAAACATATATTGTAGTATTTAATTTATTTATTTATTTAATATTTTAATTCAAAGATATATTTATTACCTAAAGGTCCTCATGAAGTGTCATAAGTAAACTTATTTAAATTTTAAACTGTTTAAATATACATTAAAACTTATATTTATATTTTTCAAAGATGTATCTTTAAACATTTGAATTTGAATGCTCCTTTCATAATTGTGTTAAACAATTATATATATTCTACATGGAAATTATAAACTTATCATAATATATACCAAATATATCTTTAAAAATAACTGAACTTATGTAATAACTTTGAGCTGATAGTAACATATTTATCTAAATGTATTTTTTGGCGTTTGAACTGAGCAAGGAATATACAGGGGGGGGGGGCAAGGGGGGCAGTGCCCCCCCCGACATGAAAAGAGGGGGGCAGTGCCACTCCCCCTTAGAACTCGGAGCTTTCACACTTTTCAAATCTTAAACTCAAGAGTAAAGAACATAAAAAAATTAGTTTGCTGTTCATTCAGTGCACTAAGAAGATTGTATACGTGGACCAGAGCCACCATGACAGAAGTCCGAATGAAAATCTATTTAGAATGGACTCTGCACCGACCTTTGACACAAAGACGACTTTTATTATCTTCTATTACCTGCACAACTCCATGTCTAAGAAGACTTCTCATTACATGGTTTGGAGTTTCCATCCCTGGACCTGCCTCCCACCTACCCAACACATCTACTTCTATATTCTTTAACATTTTTACATCTAAAACAAGCTTTTAAAGGACTTGAGTCTTTGACACAAACTTCAATTTTCTAATCATAATATCTTTGCATCTGATGATGTAAACCTTATGAATTTCATATTTAGATTATTAGATCTGAAAGAATTCATATTTTGAAATATAGGGATTAGAAAGTCAAAATCTGTGTCAAAATATAACAAAATAATAAGGATTTATAGAAAATTAAACGTGCCAAGAATTTTTCGAGATTAAAATTATTAAGCTCTTATTGGACACATTTTAATAATATAATTCACATTTTTTATTCTGTAGAAGATAAGAAACTTATCGGTTTAAGATAAAGAAAATATCTATTAAAATATCAGTTTTGAATAATGGACCTATAAAATTTCAATGTTTTAAGTCCTGTAGGATATTCAGCAAAACAAAAGAATAAGATATAACTGTTTTTATCGTTTTAATTAATGCCAAGGCAATGACTTTTAACCTTGAAAACAACAATGAACTTTCTTTAACATTGATAAATTCAACTGAAAAGTTTTTTTTGAGTTTTGCCACTTAAAAGAAATTAAAAACACAGTGCACAATTTCTATCAATTTGTTTATCTAAATATATGAAAACATGTATCATTTCATTTCAAGTATCTCTCCAATAACCTCTAATTCCCAATGGTACTTTTTTCATCCTTAACTCAACCCATAAATAGCTAAATAAATCGTTTTAATTAATACTTTCGTGGAGGTTGAAGTAAGTTTAAAACTGATCACAATAATGTTTGAAATCGAATTAAAAACTAAAATCACTTGGTGTATTTGATTTAACGTGTCGAACTCGAATGTTCTAATTCCTGGGCACATTGTTCTCTGTATTTACATTATTCTCGACTGAACCTGCATATATTACTCGAGCTAAAGGCCTACGAAGTAATTGCTACCTGGAATGAAAACAAAATACTTCTCACAATTTGCGTATTGGTTGCGAGCTGTAGCAAACGTTTTTGTAGTGAAAGTGCTATAAATATATTGCTTCTAGGTTGTTTGCTGGAACACAACTATTCTTATCTTCCAGATTAAACCCTGAAGCTTAATCACGTCATCTCTCATATGGTAAATAAATGACTTGATATATTTGACGATAATAAGTGTTCTTAAAAATGCTTCAGTCTTAAATTACGTTTTTCTTATCTCAAAACTTTTAATATACAGGGTGTCCCACGAAACATGACAGTATGCAGGACGACTTGAATGTCGTCTTGATTTTTGATATAATTTGCTGCGTTTATTAGTCAACCTAATTTTAGAAGTAAATTTCTAGAGATAATAATCACAAAATTTCCCTTGTCCTGCCATTTCCAAAATGTGGTCTGCCTTTTTTGGGCTTTCAATATTGCCCAAGATATGAAGAATTTCGTTCAGATTTCGACAATTTTGCTTTTATTTAACAAAATTGAAATCTGAACCAAACTCTTTATATCTCCGGTAATATTGAAAGCACAAAAAACGCAGACCACTTTTTGGAAATGCCAGGGCTAGGAGAATTATGTGTTAATTGTTTCAAGAATCATACATGTTAAAGTAGATAAAAGACTAAATGTCACAAATAAATTCAAATACCAAAGACGACTTTCAAGTCGTCTTGCTATTGTCATGTTTCGTGGGACACCCTGTATATAAAGTAGGTGTAATAAACAAGAACTTTCGAAAACATTGTGGTAAAAGCCGAATTTTAAGAAAAAGATGAATGCTTAATCTGTTATTATTTGATTTTGGCAAGGTTGTTGTTAATTTAAAATGTAATAATTTGTCAACTAAAAATTTAGACTAAATTATCAAATGTCGTCAGAAATTTTTCCTAATTTTCCGTAACTCCTCTTAATGCTTTAGGGAAAGCAATTGTCCATGGTTAAGTCATTGGTATTTAGGATAAGTAAGTTTGGATAAACATGGGAATCTTTGTAATGTGCACCCAACAATTATGATTGAAAGATAATTTTCCTAAATTTCTCGGTTTTCACATATCCTTGAATTTGCATACATATCCTTGAATATATGTATACACATAAAGTCTAACAGCATTTTAACAGTATTGTATATTTTAAAGTATTTATATTTTTCAAAGATGTATCTTTAAACATTTGAATTTGAATGCTCCTTTCATAATTGTGTAAAACAATTATATATATTCTACATGGAAATTATAAACTTATCATAATATATACCAAATATATCTTTAAAAATAACTGAACTTATGTAATAACTTTGAAGGGCTTTGGGTATGTAAGAAAAGTCAGAAAATTTCAACAGCCTCAGACCAATACTTTTTGAGTTATGTAAAAAAAACTACAGGGGGGGGGTCAATTTGACCCCCCCCCCAGCGGGAATAGGGTTAAAATATTGTGATGCAAATTCACATTCACTCTTTTGGCAGGTCGGATGTACACTTATTTTTGTAGGTTGGATGTACACTTTTTGCAAGGTCGTCTATAAATCCAAGGGACAAAATATCAACCAAAAACTGCATACAGAAGTCTTTTGCTCAGTAAAGTTAAATCGTCAGTACGCAATATCCTCTCTACTGAACTTAAAGTGTACATCCGATCTACAGAAAGTGAACATCCATACAAAAATTGTATATCCGACCTACAAAAAGTATTATTCCGACCTACAAATCTGTAAATTTGTCCTAAACATATGACCATCCGACCTACAATCGATGACCACCGACCTACAAGTATATTGACCATCCGACCTACAATCGATGACCATTCGACCTACAAATATTGACCATCCGACCTACTCAATTGCACACTAATTTGCATACTGTATCTAACAGCTACAGTAGGTCGGATCAATAGAAATTTTTCTGAATTAAGATTCAACTGACCTATAGTTTAACGGACCTACAGCAGCTAAAAAGCAGTTGGAAAACCATGTGCTAGTAGGTCAGAAATACAATATAGGGGATGTATGCGTAGGTCGAAAAATACACCATCAAATTCACGTCTCTCCGCGAACTGCGTGGCTGGCCTACTGGTGTAAAACAGTGATAAAAGATCTCAGATTACTTATTAAATATATCAGCTGAAACTTACCTCATTGGTCTTAGTCATTTTTACCATAACCACCATTTTAGGGTGCTTCGCGCCGTCCTCTTTTCACCAATAATTGTAAATTTATAAAATAACGCTATACAAAAAGTTCACAGATTTTTTCAGCGGATTTTTAAAATTATCAAAAATTCAAATAACTCTCATGTATCATGCCAGGTTTTCAAAACAATGTTGGCCGGATAAACTTAGCCTTTGACGTTTATTGGGATCAAACAGCATAAACATTATCAGGAACACTAAATACATATATATATATATATATATATATATATATATATATATATATATATTGATTTTTACACCGCTTTTTTTCTTAGTACTGCAATTTCTGTATTTAATTGATAGATTTACAAAAATAGTGGCCAAATATCGACCAGCAGTATTTATAATTTCCTTTCCTGTAGTCATCTAACTGTACGTGAGCTGTCAGACAAAAATTTGGCCTAATCAGCTTTTCTTGATATTTAATCAAATATGCTTTTATTATCATTCTTGGATAATGGATAAAGTGTAGTGGAGGGGAAGTGAGATTGATGGTAAAGATTTTGTATTTTTCTGCAAAACAACGAAATACATAATTAAACGCAGAATACTATAGTGATATACATTATATAGTGTATATGATTAATTTCTTTTCGTGGAACTTTAAACTTTATCTTACTAAAATATAATTATATATTCAAGTTTCTTTATTATCAAAATTTTGCTATACATTTATATTTTCTAGAGGAGTGCTGGTTCTTGAGAATCCTTGGATACAAATTTATAACCTAGAAAAGAATATCATTAACATATTGTTGACAGTTGCATTTTTTTGGAGATGTAAAAAATCTTGAAACTATTAAAACGTATTAAAGTCTAATCAGCTTAATTAAGAATCCAATCTGGCGTTAAATCAGATAGTATAGGATCCAGGCAAAAGTAAGCTAATAAAATTGCATTAGCCCAAAACATTTAAAACCAATTTATAGATCTAGAACACTGTTGACACTTATAGGTTTTAATGTTTCAAATTCTAGAAAAACTACAGTGAGACCCATAAAATTGTGGAATAGGGAGACAAGAATTAAGGAATCTTATGTCTTAATTAAATGAAGTAAACAATCTCTTTGTAACCGCGTTTACAACTTTTTTATTCAAAAAGTGCAGTTTTGCAAAAAAAATATTTTCTTTAAAAAAACTTTTTAATTATTTAAATATTTTTTAAGGGCTGGCCGGAGGAATGAATATTCTTATTTTCTTCTAATTTATGTATTTATAAAAGTTTCTAACCTTTGACAATTTGATGATTAAAGTGCCGGAAAAACTGACTTTCCGCATATATATCACCAATAAAAACGTCAAATTTAATTTGTTATAATATTTTTTTTAAACTGGTAAAAACTGGTCTCGCGCCATAAAAAACTCCTGAAAGATGAATTCCTGAATGATCAAACTCTGGAAGTTGAGCACTGTGGATAGAATATGCTTGATAGCCGAGTTTTACAGGAAATCACATTGTAGAAGCATGGTACTTTCAGAAGTTTTACTCTTTAGTATTATGTAATTCAAAAGTTTGTATTTATTAGGAATATCCGGAGTTTGTACTTTTAAGAAAATTTACGTTAAGGAATTTGTACTTTGAAGATTTATTTAAGGAGTTATGACTTCATAGTCCAATTAACATAAGACACAACAATTGTGCATTGTAATTACTAAAACCGTTAGAGATTTTTTGCTGTGATTTAGCCTCTACTTCCTCGCCTAACCAGCCTGGGAAATCGCAGCTAATCCATGGTTAGAGAATGTTTAACGAGTTGTATAATAATTGTTAAAGTTTACCTGAATATAAGATCTACACTAGTCTGTGACCGACCCTCCCCTGCCTTCCAGTTTACCTGAATATAAGATCTCCACTAGTCTGTAACCGACCCTCCCCTGCCTCCCAGTTTACCTGAATATAAGATCTCCACTAGTCTGTAACCGACCCTCCCCTGCCTCCCAGACACTCAGCTGTACTACCCCGTAATAATGCGACCTATGATATATCATTAATTTTACTTTTTATAAAATCAGAAAACATGGAATATTGACATAGTCTTTTCTTTCTTTAGATATAGATTTATCGCAAGGAATTTATTAATTTGTAATAATTTTATGCTTGCAATTAATTGAAACTAAATTATTTCTTTCATGGAATTTCTGTTTCCTTATTTTTAATGTAAAAATTGATGCAGAAAAAATTTTAAAAATGTAATCTGCGAAGAGTAATATTTTGAAATAATTATATCGTTTATCATTGAATAAAATGTTAAACAAGAACAATTTGTAATAATTTTAACAAATGACTCAATATTTTAGTAAAATTACACAATTCTAAACCAAAATTCGTAAAAAATGTAGAAATACGACGTTTTACCGTATATCAGCATAATAAAAAGTAATTGGAGTGGGGGAGATGATTAAAGAAACGGGAAAATTCCATTTTGCCATTTACAGATTTTAAAACAAAAAGTGATTATTTTGTATTAAAACTCAAAGAATAATTTTTAAAGGGACTGTTCGCAAAAAATGAACGGGTGTATAGGCTTACGTCGAAAAATACGCACTTTTTATCGCTACTTATCTTACTTCTATCTGTTACGTCTATCAGGAGAAAATTATTAAAAAACGACTCATACCGAAGAATTTAGACCATACAAATTTAGAAAGTTGCAATATTCAGCTCGGATCTCGGATCGTAAAAAAATCAATAAAATTTCAAACAAATCATTCAGATATTACAACCAATTTAGTCATCATAAGCCTATACCCCCATTTCATTATTCGCGAACACTCCCTCTAAAGTTCGGTAAAAAAATAAACCTACCGTTTAACTTTTTGGTTTAGAAACAGTTTCTGGGAATGACATCGCTTTGCAGATTTATTTATCAGCTGAGATATGTCGTGGATAATGTCGTCTTCGACAAGCACAAAGGCAGATTCTTTCAAGATGGCGTCCTTTGGAAGGGAACTGGACGGTTCATCTAGATTTAAAAAAAAAACTATTCAGTACATTAAATCCAAAACAGTTTTTAATTTTTTATTTTTTTTAATGAAAATAAAAACATTTTTCGCTTCACCTTTGAAATCTACATGTACACTGGCTTTTTCAATATGCTTCTTTCCCTCATCTCTTCGTCTTTTTCGACGATCATGCCGTTTTTTTAGATTGTGTTCGTTCATTTTATCGTTCTTATTATTTGAATCTTCACAGTTTGTTTTATTCTTCTGAGCACAAAGTTCTTCACATAGTTTGTTGAGTTCGTAGTTGTGTGTGTTCAAATCTATTGAATATGTGTTCAGTCCTGGATACTCTGGGACTTGTTGAACGGCTAGATCTGATTCAAGTTTCATTGTTGACTCTTCTGCAATTTTGCTTTTATTTTGATTATTTTGATAACTTTTTATTGGAATTATTATCTGTACTGAAATGTTGTTATCGTATTCTTAAATAAAGAGACTGTAGACGATAAGCTGTATGCACGATTTAAAACAATTCCCTTTAAACCGTTACCTGAGTAACAATAAAGGAAAACTTGTCCTTTCTCTATCTTGACTCAAAATTTTGAATTTAGTCAATTTCATTTTTTCACTTTAAAAGAGAACCCACACTTAAAATAAAAAACATCAAGCAGGAAAATTGGGAAATTTAATTCGCTCATGACTATAAATTTAAGGGTACCCTCGTAAACTAAATATGCCACTCTATAAATATCATTTTAAAATTTAATGCGCAGTCCTTTTTAGCATATTATCATTCATCATGAATATCTTCTAATCAGTTTTAAAGATCACGATAATTATTTTAAGTTAAATGATTAAGTTCAAGGGAGCAGTAAATCACGGCCAAACGTGAATTATTAACCAGAGGGTGTCCCAAAAAACATGGGAATTCAGTGACGAATTGGATATCGTCTTTGTTATGAATTAGCATTGTAATACCTAATTTCAAAAGCCATAATATTATTATGTCTGCTACAGTCTATTTTATGAAAAGGGTAAAAGACTGTAAAGATGTGTTTATAATTTCTCCGCAAGATGGACACTGAAGACGGACAAGTTTACTCTGTTTGTATACTGCCTAGTAATTTTCTTTTTTTACTAAGTACAATCGTATGCAGTCAAAACATAAACAAACAAAATATGAACATAGCAGACGAAACTCTTAAAGATTGCAACTTTCTCAGTAGGTATTACTATAACTAAATCAAAGAATTATCTAAAAAGACAACATTAAATTCGTCACTGAATTCCCATGTTTATTAGGACACCCTGTAGATAAGGATTATTTAAAGCATAAAAATTCCTTTTAACGTGTCTGAATTGTTCCAAGTCCAACTACTTCTCTCAACGCATCTATGAGGGTGCACTGAATATTGGAAAATACGATAAATGTTTTTTTTCTTTAATTAATTTTTTTTAACATTATAATCTTTTTGGTAAAACCAACTTAATATATACCTTTCATATTTAAAACTAAAAATTTTGCTTGATAACATTTTAAAATAATAAAATTTACAAAAGATTAAAAATTATGAAATTAGAGCTGGAGGTGAGTAATTAATGCTTTTCTAGACTTTAATCTTGAAAATCGACGACTTTGAACTAACTAAATCCAAGCAAACTTGTTCTGCTTCGAATGAATATTTTCAAATTACTTTTTACATATCATGATCTGAGTTGCTTTCCTTTGCTTATCTGCCAACCCACAAACATTTGTTATAATTGATTTTCACATGGTTATTATATGTATAGTTAGAACTCAAGAGGGTCAACCCAGAGCAAAATATATTTTCCCATATACCTGGTACTCCTGCGCCCTCCCAAAGGTGGAGAATTCCATCCCCGCACAGATAAATATACCTAAAAAAATAAATATTGTAACAGTGGACGAGTTTTGTTGATCTTTTACGATCAGCAATTCAAGGATTTTTTGGATCGCTGAGATCATAGCTACCAAGGGGAATCATGCCCCCTTCCCCCCCCCCCATCTTTAACCCTACGGTTGGACTTTAGAATCCTATTTTGAATCCTAACGGATTTATTTGAGTTTGCATTTGGATTCTATAAATAACCCAAGCGACGCCGAATTTTCCGTTATCTTGAAGACCCAAGGTATTTAATTGATAGATTTACAAAAATAGTGGCCA